GTCGTATACATTACATTTTATTGCTCGGATTTTTGTGGTGCGGCAAGATTTTGTTTATGCATTCTTCTGAAGCGCATTTCAATTTTGCATTGTGTGCGAATTTGTGCAAATCGTTGCCTTTTTTTCAACTCCACAAAATATTAAATATGCCGTTATAACAATGTTATTGTTGTAGCTGCTGCTTTCTGTGGCAATTGTTGTTGTAAGTGTCTACAACGGCTACCAAATTCAGTATTTTACCACGTCTACTACGCTCGCTGGCTTCAGGTGATTTGCTGTATGATTTATGTACGTTTTCGGAGTTTTGTAAGGCTGTAGGGGAATGCTAGCATACATTTAAGCGCCGCTGTTTTGAACTGTTTAAAAACTCATGAAGAGCTTAAGTACTAAAAATTATTACCAAAAGTTCAGGACACATGTTTTTGAGTTTTATTTTAAAGCAACATAATCAATAATTATTACAGCGAATATATAAATAGAAATAAGTCTTATCCGGTTTATCCGCCATAATTGTTTAATCTTTACAATTATTGTTTTTGCTTATATTTATAAGGAATGTTTAAATATGTATATTTTTGCTACTGCTAATAGACATTATAGACTTGTAGAGACATAGAAAACCCTTTGGTCTTTAATCTAATCTTTACCTTATAAAATATAAATTTTTTGACAAACTTTATACGTTTAACTTTTTTTCTTTAAAAAAGAATTGAGCTATCTAGTTCTAAGGCACACTTAAAAGCTGTTATGTGTTTATCCGTGCTTATCCAATGTTATTTATAACGTATTTTTAACATCTAAAGTAGTCAAAAGTCTTTTCCAAAATGTTGGAATTTAACAAATTATTGTTTATACGCATTATCCAAGCTTGATTGCAATGTTAGTTAAGCTTAAATTATTTTCTATAAAAAAATGTTAACTATTGTATATAAATGGTTTTAAACTTAAAAATATCACTTAAAAGTTGTTATCCATTTATCGGTGCTTATCCAATGCTATTTCCAGCGCATTTTTAGCTTTAACTCAGAAGAAGTACTCAGAAGCCTTATCCGAACTGTTGGAATTCAAAATTTGTTTGCTTAAACGCATTATCCCAGCTTAACTTGCTTGTTATTTAATTATTTTAAAATAAAAAAATTATTTAGGTTTCTTTTTAAGCAATACATATTATCCGTGTGATGTAAAGTGTATTGCAGACACTTTAAAATGCTTTTTGTAAGCTTACTTGTAACATACAATAAGAAAATTTATTATCCGGATTATCCAGTATGGTTTTTTATATGCTTACCTGTAAAATAAAATGTAAAGTTTTTTTATCCCTTATTCACTATTTTTTAAAGTGAAATATTTTTACAAAATCTACAATATATTTTATCCAATGAACGCGGATAAACTGCCGGCGCGGCTTTAATGTTTTGCATCTGAAATTAAAGTTGAAGATTCTGGCTTTACGAATATTTCAGCAATTTTGCTATGAATATTTTGTAGTCAACACATTATTTTCAATGTGACATTTCACTTATCAAGAGAGTACTAAATTGTTTCCATGAAATTATGCGAAAATTGCTTGCTTCTTCTAGTAGTTAGACTTATTGCTTTTGTACATTTGAATGAACTTAGTTTGTAGCGTTCTGAATTCCATACATACTAAGATGACGCTTTCGAAATACTTTGCATACTTGGCGGCTGCCCGCCGTGCTTTATACAGCTTTGGTGTTTTCGTGTGAAATTCATTTGTACAACTTCAGAGTGGTGCCGTAGGGGGTGATGCATTAATTAACTGCACTGCGGTAAATGATAAATTTTAAAATAGCACTTCAGTGGCGAATAATGAGAATAATAGTAGTTCATTTACCGCTGTTGGCTAACATGCTCATACAAGCATGTGCGCCTAAATGTATAGTAACAAGTTTTTAAATTTTGCGATAGCACACGCAGTTTGATGCAAATTGAGCTCGTGGTGTTCGTACAGAATATGTATTCATTTAAAAAAATTTGCATATATATGAAAAATGTTAATTGTGGTTCAACAAGTTGACTAGAAATGCCTGCAAACAAAAGCGTTAATTTCTCGTGCTCGCATATTTTGCAAATACTTTGTTGTTAAAATTACAGCTAACACGCTTGTGTTAAATCACCATTAGGCCGCAAGATTACCTCACCTTCGAGTAGCTGCTTTGTGCGCGTTGACCTTTTACATAGAATAATTTATCTACGTGTCGATTTAACACTCCGCTAAACATGTTAATTGCTGAGCATTAACCGTGTTTTGTTATTATAAAATTCCTTTAAAGCAGCGCCGCTTCAACCAAAGCTGCCTCATACCACTTTCTCTGCTGAATATCAGCTCTACCGCCTAAAAGTATGCACTATGGCTGACTGCAAAGGTTCAAGTTGAGCTTCATGCTTTTCACTCGCTTTGCTCTATTCACTTCGTTGCTTTTGCGTATACAGCGACGACGACGACGACAAATTAATTAAAATTCATTTCAATTTCCTTTCAACGACTTTTTACTATGTTTACTACGTGAGTCCTCTTTGTGTGCTGCGCTAGTTGGGGGCAAACTTTCACGTACGCTGGCGTACTCACTTAACGTTGCGGCACTAACGGTTCTAGTTTTATATATATTCATATACACGTACATATGCAAATAGCAACGTGTTAAAATATATGTGACACATGTTTAGTTCCGCTACATGCCCTAGCTGGAATTCCCTTTTATGACCTCTCAATTGTCAGCTGTTTGAATTCTCATAATTTCGAACACTCAGCGTGAATTTTATGTGCACTTCAAATGAATAAACTTTTTAAACATTTTACGAAGTCCTTCTATACTCGTATACTTGTATAATATAAGCCGTGGTGTTCTATTTTTGTTTTGCCTAGGCATTGCTATGGTTCATAGAAAGCTAGAAAACTTAAGAGAAATCTTACTCTGACTCGGTATTTACACTTTTGCTCAATGCAGTTCAAGGTTAGTCAACTACCGCACTATGAAATAAAGTTAAATACTAAATTAATAATTCCTGCTGTCAGTGCATTGCTTGCGTACAGCATATTAAATTTATTGATGGTACAATATTTATTGATTCCGGTTGTTGCTTCCTTTTATCGCTTAAATAAATAAAATATAATATAAAACTCGTATACCCATAATAAAAAAAAAATTAGTTTATTGCTAAACGATTTATATATTTAAAAATTGTGGCACAAAAATTAGTAAACTTTTTATCCGAGAAGTGTTCGCACATTTTTTGGTTTATATTTGTATCTTAAAAGTGTGGAAAGTTAAAAATTAATGCAAACAAGGTTTATCCCGGTTATCCGTATAACCCGGATAAGTTTTTTTCAGTAATTTTTTTATGATTACTTCCTGAAAAAGTAATAATAATTGCTTATAATTAATACGAGTAACTAAAATCAAAGGCAGCAAATAAAATGTGTATCTAAGTTACTGTATGGAACTATTTCGGTAAAAACTTCCGAAGAAATATACCTATTCTTATATTTATAATATTTGCTTATTTTTCGATTTAAGAAATGACAGGATTAGAAAATCTACATTTTATTTGTATTATAATTTTATGCAACAGAAACGTTTTTTTTATCCGTTATCTGTAGTAATTTTAATACAATAAGTAGCTGTTATTAAAACTATGTAGATCGTAGAGTAATCTGATCGATTTTTGCTGCTTGGATAACACCGAATAATGAGTATTTGTCATTTAGTAGTAGTACTTTGCATAGAGGATAAACAAATTTTGCATTGTATTCACGCGAATAATAAAAAGCAATTTTTTCATTTGTTTGCACGGATAACATTGGAAGAGATTTTAATAAATTTTTATGAATTCTGAACGTGACTTTGTGTATGGAGTAGAATAATCATGCGGATAATTACTTTTTTCATAAATTTTCTCATACCTTTGCACGGTAAAAGCGTTTTTTGATTCACGGATAACATCGGATCATAAGTTTTTCAACATATATTTAAATTATTGATATTATTATTGTTTTACTAGTATTTAATTATTCACGCAGATAATTTTTTTTGCACTGTCATGCGCGTTTTTATGAACGGATAACACTGGATAAGAAGTTTTTGAACGTTTATTGAAATTAGTATTATTACTTCCCAGATGGCATAGACAAAAAATTAAATTATATTCACGCAGATAATTCCGGATAATATATAAGAAATTTTTTTCTAGTTGTTTGTACGATATAACCATGTTTTGCTGTTCAGATAATACCGCATAATTAAAAATATTTTTTTTTTATTAATATTATTTCGATCATATGGACGACAAGTGATAAGTTATATAAAGACGGATAACTTCGGATAATATATACAGCCAATTTTTTCATTTGCTTTCACCAGTAAATCAAGTGAGAATGCGAAAATCTTGCTCAATCCATTCGTATTAACATGCTTACATATTTGTAGTCGAATTATTGATTGGCCACTTGGAAGTACCTGCATATAGTACACACGTATATCCCCACATTTCCAATACTGATTGAACTTTTCTATATAAATGTATTGGAAAATGTTAAATCAACTGTTGTACAGAAAGGAATAAAAGTTTATAAGTGCTACAAAAAGCAATTTCATTTCAGTACATTCGTATCACATGTAAACAAAAATAACTCGAAAGATGTAATGAGAGTGAGAGCGATGTGGGGTCAAAGGGCAGCAAATTATTATATATAAAGACATCCTCGTATTTACTCTTATTTCGCATACTTTTGTCGGCAGCGAGCCAAAAAAATAATTCTCCTTTAAACGCAACTGACCTCTAGACAACAAAGTGAACATAGAGAGAGAGAAGTAAAAGTGTGCCGGGTTATTGAGATGCTGCGGAAAGTGTTCGCAACTTGAGCTGACAAGTCAGTGCACTCAATCGAACGTTGAAATTGTCGTTTGTCCAAATTTTGTCGATTAAGTGACAACAAGCCATAATAAAGCAGCACCAGCAGCAACAACAATAACACAACAAAAGTCGTTACGCCCAAAAGTATGCTTAGAATTTCGTACTGAACTGTAGTAAAAATTGCATATTTTTAGATTGCCTTGCCAGCTTCAAGCCACCCACACAGCCTTCTACCACTGTATTTAGTATATATGATATTGTATGCACCCTTAAATGGTAGTAGGAAACCGTAAATCCTACAATGTTAGCCAAAAATATATGTGGATGTTAAACTGTTTTATGCTTTTTGGCAGCAGGATTTACGAGCTAACAACAACGCGACAAATGAAGTAAATTGGAAAGTGCAGAGAACACACTGACAATGTGAAGAAAATTGCGCGCTGATTTTTATTGCCTAACTTGTGCCAGAAAATATATTAGTATAAAGATTAAAAAACAAAAAACAAAAAACCAAGAAACATTATATTTGACTTAAAATGTGCCTTCACTTGCTTTGCTGATATTAACACAAAACCATAAAAGTATTAAGTGATAAAAAAAATAAGTATAAATTCGAAGAAGTTTAAGTGTAAACGAGATTTTGAGGAGAACCACAAAAAGTGCCTTCTTGAAGTAACAGTTCTTAGTGAGATAGTGACATGGAAATCTTAAAAAAAAAATGCTTAAAAAAGTTCGAAATATTTCTTAAAAGAAAGTGCGAGAAGTGTTAAAACTAAAAAATTATCGCCAGCCAAACTGTTAGTTTAATATTTGATACTTCACTGCTGAAATCACGCTAGGCTGCATTTCGACATGTCGCGCGAGGTTAGCTTCAGTCGCCAATCCTTGGAGCTACGCAGTCAGGAATCCTCATTATTACCTGCCATCAGCGCTAATGCCGGCGCTGATGTGAGTGTCAGCAACACAGACACATTGGCCACAGCAGCCAGCTCCACCTCTGCCTCTGCTGTGGCGCCAGCCAATAATAACGCCGGTTTGGGCGTCTCACAGCGTCGCCGCCAGCGCAAAGGCATCACACAGCGACAGGATTCATGGTTTCGGCATTCAATGCCACCAGCTTTGACGCGCGATTTCGAGTCCATCGAGAATTTGGCGCCGAATACCACAAATGGTTTGGACGAACAGTTGGCCGCCTCACTTTCGGGGCGCTTTGGCGCATCCACGTCAGCGTCTTTGGCCGCTTCGACGGCGCACAGTGGCGGTAGCGGCAGTTTGACAGTGTGCGGCTTTGGCATTGGCGGTCTCGGTGGTTTCAGTGGCAGCGGTCAGAGTGGTAGTGGCGGTGGTGGTGCTGGTGCTAGTGGTATGGGCGGCAATCGTTTCGGCGGTGGCATCAATCTCAATAGTGCCAATAGTAATTTGGGTTTCATCGATTCGGACGAATCGAATTTACATACACCGATTACACCGCTCGCCTCGCATTCGGCATCCATTTATGGTGGTTTGCAGCAGCAGGGTTCAGTGTCGGCCGCCTCGGTGGCGGGTACACTGTCATCGTCAAATGCTATTGGTAATGGTGGTAGTGGTGCTGGCGGTGGTGTATGCCGTCGGCATAAATCGAAGCGACGCAAAGATTCGAGAGCGTCGGTGTTGTCAAAGCAAAGCGGTAATAGCGTGAGAAGTCGCGCTTCAGCATTGGCCGCACGAGCTGGTCTACATATGACGGCGTCTTTCTTGCGCAAAAAACGAAAGGAATATGAAGGTGAGTGGGTTGTGAAAGTGGTTTGGGTGCCAGCCAAATATCGAGGTGTAATTATATATTTTATTTTTGAAACTTATCATCTCAAGCTTTAACGATCTACTTAGTTTTTTTTTTAATGAATATCCAGTTTTGTGCATTTCAACGCAAAAATCAAATTATAATTTCCAATAAACGGTAAAAATTTAGAAACCCCCCTTTAGCACTTTAAGCGCATAAAATAATATTGAAATCGAGGTGGAAACTTTTCATTGGCGCCAGTTTGGGTACAAAGTAGGAAGTAGGAAAATAGGAAAAACAAGTATAAAACAAAATAATAAAAAATATAAAAAAAAGCCAAACAATAGCGTCAAAATCATAAAATCTTGCTAGCCAGGCCAAAAGCTTGGCGGAAGCGCTGTTGAATGGGGCGGAAATGCATAATGACAAATAAAAAAAAAAGTTAAAAATTCATATAAACACAAAACTAACTGGGTGTAGAATAAATAAACAAACTTCAGAGAAAATGAAAACACGAAATGGCTGAGAATTGATTGAAAATTTTAGCGGTTGTGTAGATGTAAGCGACTGGCGCAAAATTCGTGTAAGCCATTTTTATTTAAAGCTAAAAAATGGAGAAAAAAATATAAGGTTTTTGCCAAAGCGGCGAAGATTAAGATTAAAAAAATAGTTTGAATACATAAAACGGTGTTTTTTAACTATAAAATTAACCAAGAGGCCTAGAATAATTTTTTTATTTTTATAAAGCAAATATCTTTCATTATCTATTCCTTTTTAGAACTTTTTTTCTTAATAAAACAAATATTTGATATTTTATAAAATTCAGACTATATTTACAATAATCAATTAATACACACTGGAAGAAAACAGTAGACACATTAATTAACTTAAATATAAAAGCTCATACAAATAGGTGCCTAAGTGTATGCTACATATGCAAAAAAATTGCATATCGCCATACCAATATATATTGTACAATTCGATTCTTCAATTAAAAATAAAATTTTGGAAGCACACTCCATCTCCACTTATGAATAACTTTTCGCATAAAACGCCTGAAAATCAAGTTTTCTTTATGCTTTGCATACTTATATGCGCCATTGCATACCACACAACTTTCCCAAATTTTACCACTAAAAACAAACACCATTATTGTAGTAAGCGAAAGGGTTTTACTCATCTTAATGCATCTTCAAACACTTGAGTCAAGTGGACGCATCCTCTATAGCACTTAAGGACTGTTGCTTCACCACTTCTTTTTTCTTGTTCAACACACTTTTCTATAGCATACTTTCCAGCGTATGTTTCCACTTTCCTAGCGCTTACGAGCAGCTAAAAGTGCCACATCGTAAAAAGCGTTGGCTGACAAATTAAGATATTTTGATATGTGCGACCACGCCGGACAGTGGCGCCAGAATGTATGCTGTGCAAAAGCAAAAAACGCGTCAGTTTGTTATGGCATACTTCTTGCGCACTTCGGAAAGTGCTGAAAAGCAGCAAGTAAACTGCTTGTAATGACAAAATATATGTAAAAAGTAAATTTTGTGGAATGTGGTAAATAAAAGGCATTAAAAGTTATTTTGGCCGTCAAATTATTACCGGTTATTTTTTCGATATTTTTTCACGTTTAAGCGTGAATTAAATTAGAACGTAGCTTATTTGTTTTGGCGCATTCTACGCAAGCATTTTGGTAATTGGAATGCTTCAAAAAATGTAGCTTTGGAAATTGAAAAGCTTACGAAGTTTGATAAACGAAGTTTCCAGTATTTTGACTTTGTTATCAAGTTTCGAAGTAATCAAATTTATTTGTCGAATTCTTTGCAAACATGTTCGTAACTCAAATTTTTGCGTTAAATATTGAAGAAATTAAAGCTCTCGATTTTGATTTCTTATACTAAAAATTACAAAAGTTTAGCTTATGTAATTTTTTTCGACTTAAAATTAAAACTAAGAACCTAAACCTAAAAATTTCTGCGTGCTATAATAAAAGTTTCGAAATCGACATAAGCTTTAATTTGATTGAACTTTAAAAGCTTCTACAACTTATAATTAAAGTAAAATTTTTTTTATAATTCTTTTTTTTAACTTCCGCACCTTTTCACTCTATTTCCTTTAAAAAATGCGCTTATTACAATGTTTACATTACGTTGAAGTCATGTCCTCTGACAGCAACATAAACACAAACGCAGCTGGCAACAAGAAAAAAATAACGAGTTACTCATTAAAATGGTGATGACATGCAAATGGCACTTCGCACAGTTGCTACATGTTGCAAATAATGCATTAACATATAAAAAACTCATTAGAGACTCGCTATAAAATTTAACGCATCGCCGGTAGGGACTGCAGGGGTAAAAATATACAAACTAGAAATGTCCATGATGACATGAGAGATATAGGTTAAAATACTCATTCAAATGCACTGCATTATTTGTAATGCAAAAGCTGCATAAGAAATATAAAAATAGACACGCGTTGAAGGAAAGCGCAGAAATGGCTGAGAAATGGCGTGGAGTCTTTACTATACAAAAACAATATAAGCAGAGGTTGAGTAAATGTATCAACAACATATTGTTGTCGTTTGGTAGATAACTACCAGATATGGGAATAATTTTGAGCATAGTTTTTAAGAATATTGTGATTAAAAGTAGCAGAAAACGATAAGAAAAAACGCAGTGTTGTATTTCATTTTAATCTTTATAACTCTCTGATCCCCCTTATAATTGATGTTGCTCTATTTTGAATTTAAAACCAGACTTGTGATTCTTTTTGATAAGGCCTAAGCTAAAAGAAAGTTCAGCTTTCATATGTCGCTCATTTGTGCTACTGCTGCCATTAGAGCTAGTTCCTCTTTGAGCGCATGAGAGCGAAAGTGTCAGCGTAAACTGAATTATTCTCAGGTTTCGCCGCGATGCCAAATTATGCTGTATTCCAGCAACTGTGAAGCCCAGATGTCGCATTTTCTTGAACTTGAATTGCTGAGAGGATTTTCGCGTAGTTCCGCTTTGCTTTGAGTTAGACTTAAAATAAAATAAAATGAGTAATAACTTTGTGCTTTGCAGAAATGTACTAGATGTTTTCAGTTTTCGAGCGCTGATTTTTAATTTTCATATTTTTATACCCTGAACAGCATATATTAATGCTTCTACGAAGTTCGTAACACACAGAAGACAACGGCGGAGACCCATAAATCATATACAAGTATATACATATAAGAATGATCAGCATGACAAGCTGAGCCGTTTTTTATATCCTTTTATGTTATACAAAATGCAGCTGTGAAGGATATGATAGATTCGGTGCAGCCGAAGTTAAAATTTTATCTGGTTTTAGTCTTAGAATGTCATAACTCGAAAAACTCAAATATGTATTAAGTTAAGTATGCTCCACAGTTTCCGTAACAAGCTGCACCCTGTATCAAAATGTCAGAGCACGTACATATGTATGCAGCTACGATGGACAATCGGCCAAGACTTTTGGGTATATGTATTGGGTATATCAAAATATATGTTAGGATAAGCAGAAACCATAGTCGAGAATTAATTTGTGATGTAATAAAGCTAATAATTAGTACAACAACAATGCGCATAGCTAAGGCATTCATAAAAACCGCAGGCCATAAAAAATTTGTCTCATAAAAAGCTATTTGACTTTTAAAGTGTAATAAAAACCATATCTAAAGCCACATATCCTTTTGCTAACTCATTAAAAACGTAAAAGGGCACACACACAGCTATGAGTTAAAAATTTTAATATTATATATGACAATTGTGGTTTCAGCGTGCATTTTAAGCAAAAAGAGTAATTGCTCATGCGTCTCCTGCCTCTTCTGCCGCAATATCGGCTTCATGCTCGCTGAATTTTGTCTCAAAGGCCTTGACATGTGGACGATTTGCAGTTGACAGGCAAGCACACGCATACACACACACTGTACTTGCATACATACGGAAATATACATACATACATATATATATATTTATATATATATATATTTATATAAATGCTGCTGTGGCATTGTTTGCAATGTAATGAGCGGCTCGTCATGCGCTAGCTGCAATTTGACCCCAGTTTTTAATAGTTTCCGGTACTGACTACCAGCAAAGAGCGCGCGTCCTTGCCCGAGGGTAGTGTGTTTTTCATCTGGTTGTATTAGCATGTCGATATTGACTTATGTGGTGCAGCAGTTGACAAGTCTGTGGTGCAGTAAAAATTCTAGAAAATATGTATGTAAAATTGTAGTACCGTTAGAAAGTTCATAGCACATAATTACAGGGTCTAGTGTAAAATAATTATTCTGCAACCCAAAAAATATATTTCTATTTAACATTTTTCGCTCAGTGCATCGCGCTCGCCACATATTACACGTACGCATACGCACACGTGCGTGATGAAATTGAAATTCCATTCGAAGCATTGATCCTTTTAAACTTACATCATCCTGCAAAGGCGTTTTGTCAACTGTGCTCTTGTTGTTGTTAGCTCATATTGTTATGCTCCACAACTTTATTGTGTTGATAAAAGTTCATGTTGTTTTTCCATCGTTCTACGTATGATATTGCCATTGTTGTGCAGTGTTGTTGCTGTAATATTTATCGACATTTTTGCTCACGCATAAATACACCTGCTGCAGCAATTGTTGTGTCTTTTGTTGCGCTTAATCGCATTAGCAAGGAGCAATTTGTGGCGGCGACGCAGCTGTTCGGAATGCCGCTGGTTAACCCTGAATTGTTGCATACTTTGAGGCGTGTATGCGTGAAATTTGATAAAGTTGAGACATGCTTTGTTATAAGCAATTAAATTCAAAGTCTGTTCGTATTTACAGTTACATGATCAGAATGTAGCAAAGAGCAGCACAGTCGGTAGCGGCATTCTGTGGCTTCAATGTGGTTTTGAAAAGTGGGCGTGGCTTCGCCATCTGAAAGATTTAATGGATATTTGTGTGTATCTCATAAACTACTAAAATAATATCTAGACTAGACTTTGTGGAAAGAGTCTTTTCAACA